GAATCTGTTGTGATCTTTGCTTGTTCCACAGTGTGGCATTTTATTGTCCCGTTCACGTATCCTGTGCTCCTCTTGGAGATATTATATGTAACACATATCTTTCTGAAAAGCTAAACGAAACCTGAATTCCAAAGTAATTTGTGTTTAAGGGTTTCAAATAAAGGACGGTGGGCCTGTAGAGAGACAGATAAATAACAATTGAAGTGTTCATCAAAAAAGGAAGTTAGTATTTCAGCACTTTAAATGAAAGCTAGGGCCGGAGAAATGGCTTGGCAGGTAAAGCCACTTGCCACTGAGCCTGACAACCTGAATTAGCTGAGGCCCATGTGGTGGAAGGACAGAACTGACTCCTGAAAGTAGTCCTCTGATCTCCACACTCACATTGTACACATGTGCACACACATGTATATATACATGTCCCCCCACACAATAAACAAAAGTGTAATAAATAAAAGCTAGACCTGGGGCTGGAAAGATGGCCCAGCAGTTAAGAGCATTGACTGCTCTTGCACAGGACCCAGGTTCGATTCCCAGTACCCACATGGCAGCTATAAACCGTCCTTAACTCCAGTTCCAGGGGAATCCGAAGCCCTCTTCTGGCCTTCATGGCACTGCACGACACGGGTGCACTCACACACATGCAGGCAATACACTCATACACATAAAATTTAAAAAAATAAATAAAAAGCTAGACCTATTCATATTGGCATGGACAATAAGTCTTCAAGATAAGACAATATTAAATGGAAAAAGAAAAACCTAGTACATTATCTTTCTTGGTAAATTAAAAATCACGTAAACCAGAAGCATATACTGCTTGTGAGCACAAGTAGAGGAAGAATCATAGAAAGCACTGGCAGGAGGGTAGCTATCTCTGGAGGTTGAGAACGGGTATGGGACGGGTATGGGAGCTTTAGATTCGGCTTCTATCTATAAATCAATAATCTGAAGCATGTTTAGTGATACGAGTCCTAATACTGGGTTATATTACTCTTCATTTTTATGTTTGCAATATTTCATAAATAAAAAATGTTAACAGTAAATGGTTTAATGAAACTCAACACTCACTTGCTCATTCATTCATTCATTCATTCATTCACACATTCAACAAACAAATGGGCAATATAATCACAATGGTCCATGGGCAATTGTGAAATGAAACCACTGGTACATCAACAGTGGAAAAGGTCACACTGAAGATACCACAGTAAATCTAAGCTGGTATCTTACAATGAATAGAGCTTGATGATAGTACAGAGACTTATAATGGGCTAAGCAAGGAGACCAAGTGATGCTCTTCAAATATCTTAAGGAGAAAAGGATTCCCTGTTACTGCTCGAGGGAGCCCCCAAACCAAAAGGTACATATTTAAAGATGTCACATTTTAGCTTTACATAGGACCTTCAAGCAGGGGTAGGGATGAAGAAAGATCCTGTTTCAACACAGGGTCATGGACTGCCTTGGGTCTTACAAGAGTCTTGATGCCGCTTTACATAGGACCTTCAAGCAGGGGTAGGGATGAAGAAAGATCCTGTTTCAACACAGGGTCATGGACTGCCTTGGGTCTTACAAGAGTCTTCATGCCCAAAGTTAGAATTGGAATGAAGAACTTGTCAGTCCCTTTCAAGTCTGGATTCTACAAGGACAGGAGAGACGATAAGACCCTAAGAACACTCTTTGCTCAGCTTTCTTATACTACTTTTTAATCTAAAAAGGTTGCAGAAAAACATTACTGACTTTTCCCATTCAATTTCTATTCAAAAGTTCTGTTTGACTCGGAATGAATTAGAAAAGATATAATAATCAAGTCCAGTCTCTACATTTCATGATAAGAATCAAATGCAAACATGCCAAGTGTGAACGTCATGGTGAAAGCTAACACAGCAAGTGCAAAATCTGTTTCCACTCAACTGGGAAGCAGACAACACCCCATTAGCCAAGAAGAAATAGGTGACACAGGCGGACGTGATGGTACATGCCTGTAATCCCAGCACTGGGGAGGCAGAGGCAGAGGCAGGCAGATCTCTGCGAGTTCAAGGCCAGCCTCGTCTACATAGTGAGTTCCAGGCCAGCTGGGGCTACAGGGAGACCCTGTCTCAAAAAGACCAAAAAAAGAAAAGAAAAGAAATAGGTGACACATAAGAATGACTTGGGGGGGTATAAAACTGAGAGGAAAAAAAGAAGTCTTAGGCCTGTCTAGCATGGGGTCCACCATGGGCTTGGGCAGTAATATAACCAAGTAGAGAGCTAGTACTCGGTAAGCAAGAGGCATTGTTGTTTCTAAGTTTTACAGAAGATGTAACAAGAGTTTTAAACTGCTCCTTTAAAAAAAAAAAAAATCAATCTTTCCCAGTGGTGGTACGTGTCTTTAATCCCAGCAACTTGGGAAGCTGAGGCAAGAGGGTCTCGAGTTCAGGAACTGTATGGACAACATACAAGAAAAAAAGGTTCATGAATCTACCCACCCACCTCCACGACACAGTGACTTTGTGTGCTCAGTGCCTCTGACTACCATGAGCAGGAGAAGAGTTTGGGAGTTAAAGGATCTGGGTTGAAGGTCCAGTTCAATTATGTGTTAGCTGACAGACACTGAGCAAGTCATTTAACTCCCTGGTGCCTCAGTCTCAACTGTAAAACAGAGCTGCTGATAATAAGTTTTTTGAAGGATTACAGACCCCAATGCAGTATGAAAATACGGTGTAACCTAAATAGCCTAAACAGTAAGATGCTGTTGCCTTTACTTTAAAGTAGTGAGTTAAGCTCCGTGTGGTGGTGCTCACCTGCCATCTTAGCACTTGGGAGACAGAGGAGGGTGTACTTAAAGTTCAAGGCCAGACTGGGCCACATAATGAGTCATAGGTTAGCCTCAGCTGTGTAGGAAGATTCTGTCTTGAATACATACATATATACATGCATACATACATATGCGAGCAGTAGGAACCATTTGGTGACTTTTCCTTATCCCACTTTGCCTCTGTAGCTAGTCTTTACCTCATAAGGCAAATTCGAAAAGGAAAAATTGGTCCTCAGAAAACAGTTCTTAATCTAGTGCTCATCAAAACCTCCTGGAGCCAGGCACGGTGACGTACACCTTTAGTCCCAGCACTAGGAAACAGAGGCAGGCAGATCTCTGTGAGATTGAGGCCAGCCTGGTCTACATATTGAGTTCCAGGTCAGCTGGGGCCACAGGGAGACCATCTCAAAAAAAAAACAAAAAACAAAACACAAAAAAGCCCACCTGGAAAGCCTATTCAATAAAGAGCTGCCTGTGCCTCTGACCTACTTAACCCAAATATCTAGAGATGGATCCAGGACAGCAGACTGGACTACACAGAGGACAGAAGTAGGCGTCTTTACCAACCTCAAAAATGGAAGGCTGGCTATTAGCTCCTCTATAAAGCTCATCTTAATAGAATATTACATAACCTATAACGTCCTCTTTTTCATCTTTTCCCCCCATTCATTTGGTATTCAGCTTTTAAAAGTTATGTAAGTTTAAATAATTGAGTTAATGCCAATGTACCTTCAAAGGCATAGTAAGAGATTAGGTTCAAATCAGGTTCAAAGTTCCAGTAAAATGAGTATGTTCTGTTGCTGTTTTGTCAATTCAGCACTAACAGATTTACCTCACCCCAATGCTAAATCCACCTGCTTTGCTACTGTAGCTCTGCCCTTTCTTAGTAATGAGAGCATAATTTTGTTTCATTCCTTTTCCAAAAGACTCACACACTAGTTTTTAAAAATCTTTCCATACTTTTTATATAATATGCAAATTCTGTCATTACAGTGCAGTTTCTGTATTTTCCCTCACCCAAATAAAACACTCTGTTGCCAAAGTAAAAAGAAAACCATAACTCCAGGTGTGACAGTGCACACCTTTGATCTAAGTTCTCGGGTGGCAGAGGCAAGCAGGACTCTGTGAGTTCCAAGCCAGCCTGGTCTACATAGCAAGTTCCAGGCCAGCCAGAGCTACAAAATGAGGCTCTGTCTCGAAACAAACAAAAAACAAGAAAACCATAAACTTAGAAATTCAAAATGTAAGAGAATCAACGTCATCTTATCTGTACATTCTAAAGCATTTCATTTGTTGTGAGTTTACCAAGGATATCAAGTGACTTATTTCATTTCAAACCCAGGCAGTATGATTTTTCAGTGTTTTCATAAGATACACAGTATCAATCCTAAAGCTCCTAAAACAGGATAGGTATGGCCCCTTTATCATCATATCCACTACATAACATAGCAAGTTCCAAAAACCACAGAACATGAATGACACATTTAAGAAAATTTAGTTATGAGAAGCTAATCCAAAATTCAATTTCGATTTTCAAATATAATAGTACTACTTACATGTCTTTGTATCATAAAAATGTTTTTAATATATGTATCCAATCAGAATAAAAACTTTTTCGTACAACCCGTCGACCCAACGCTGAGCTAGGGTCCCTCTAGGGATTGCGAAACTCGGAGCGGCCCGGGCGGAGGGGCTCGACCTCCACGCCGACAGACGCCCGAGCCAAGCCCAGCCCGCTCCCCGACGAGGCCCTGACTTGTGGGTTTGTTGGTATAGCGGATCCACGACGCCGGCCGAGTGCAGCGGCAGCTTCCTCAGAACACGTCCTCACAGCCTCACTTCCGGTTTCTAGCTTCCGGTCTCAGGACCCAGGCGCCCTCGAGCGCGCCTGATCCACGGTCGTTGTGAGGGCCTGAAAAGGGGTAACGAGAAAGGAAAGCCTGTCGGGAGGGATGGGTGTGGCTCTGAGGCTCGTCCTCTCAGAGGGCGACCGGGAGGGTTTTTGCGGAAGCCGAGCTTCAGGATTGAGTCAGGTAATCGCGAGGACAGTCGCGGGGTACTGACGTCAGAGCCTCGGTGCAGGACCCTGCTCTTTGCACATTTCTGCTTGGCTTGGACTTAAGCCTTGGTCTTGCGGGTCTAGGGAGTTCGCGCCTCCCGCACTTCCCCGACTCATGCTTTTCCTAACCCGAACTTGCCCACCCGCTCGCCTTCCCATCGCTCCCTGTCCCTTTCCATGTATCCATCCTGTAAACCTAGAGAGTGAGTGATTAGCATGTGGCCTGGTGACATGGGAGCAATGAGTTCCTCCTGTTCAAGAGGTTGAAGGCTAGGAATACGATATGTATACACATAAACATGCCAAAAGGTAGAAAATCCCAAGTAATCCAAAGAGAACGAGCGGGGCCGAAGGGCTGTCTTCGGTAGGAGATTTGAGACTTGAAAGGGGTGGCCTTGGAAAGGACTTGAACACATCTTCAGTTAAGGCCCATCTCATTTTCATCCACTCAGGCTTTTAGCTACAGCTCCTCCCAAGGGAGTAGCTGTTCCTCTTCCTTTGACGAGTTGAAGCTTCTATTTTCCTGTATCCTGCATCCCTCCCCCTTTTAGGTCCCAAAGAAACTGTCCACTCATTCATTTCCTAATATCAAATTTCCCACTTCCTCTCATTTATTGAGCATCTTTTATGTACCATGGATAAGAAATAGTAGATAGGAACACCAGCAAAGTACAGTCCTCAAGTCCCCCATGGTCTATTAGGAAGGTCCATCATATTTTGAAACTGAATTTATCAAGTAGCATTTAGGCTATCACTGTTACATGGGTGGTTTCTTTCGAGAGGAGCAAGAAAGGTTCATGGACCAAGAAGCATAGGAATAGGGCCTTCAAAAATCAAGAGTTTAACAATGTCTAGCATATAATAATCATGCCACAAATGATGAAATTCACTACTTTGTATATTAACCTAAAATAAGTAAAAATTATTTTTAAAGAGAACATATTTTCAAATAACTTCAAAAAAAGATGCATAGCAAAAATGACGAGGACATCGACATGGCAAAGGCATGTGAATTCTTAATGGACACCTGAGCCCACAGTAGTGAGAATTGCCAAAAAGAGACTTAGTACAGATGGATAAACAGTGGCAGCCCTGCGGAGCATTTCTCACAGACTAGTATTTGGGAGCCAAAGACATTCTAGAGTAAAGGCAGTGAAATCAGCTGAAAAGACAAGAAGTCATAGAACTCCTTCAGGGGATGAAGAGGGCAGAGGAAATAGCAGGTAGTGCACGAGGGGAAGCCACTGTTTCTTCAAGTGATGCTCAGAGAGGTGCCTATCATGTCATGGCCACCAAAAATTGCACCTGTGGTCACTAAAGAGAAAGTTCACTTGTATCAATCCTCGTGTTTCCCTGAGCAGGAAAACTGAGCGGGTTGAAATATGTGCATGAATCCTGCAGGAGAGAAGATAGCCATGGAACTGGAGTATAGCTGGTAGGAACAGTCTGTAGGAGGACAAGGTTTTCCTTTTTTTTTTTTTTTTTTTTTTGATACAATATACATGTAAATGTGGGAACGAGGTCCTTACCTATGGAATGAGCAAGACCACATTTAATTCACTGATGGAGATTTCTCCCAAATGAATTTTAATCTCAGGGTTGTAGACTCCATATAACTAAAACAACTTGCTTAGTTGATATAAATAAGGCTGAACACACACACACACACACACACACACACACACCTCCTTATTAAAATCCACCCACTCAAGTCTCAGGGACCATTGAGGAATAAGGGGCAGAAAAATTGTAAGAGCCAGGGAGGAGGTACATGACCATATGTAACTAGTCCTACAAGCACCTGGGACCCTTCTCATAATAACCTACAGCAATGGTACCAGCATGCACCAGACCCATGCAAACTTAAGCAAACAAAAACCCAGCACAGAACTGTGGAAATAAACAGCAGGCCCCAATCTTGGTCAAAGAATTATTGGCAGTTGATACTGCTGGGTGAGGAAGAGCTGATCTTCTTAAAGGGAGGGACTGTAGATAGGCTGGCTAGATCCCAAGTGAATGAACTTGCACTGAGGGCTATCTGGGGACAGTGCATGATAGGCCTTAACACAAACAATAGAAGGTATGACCTCCAGTGGGGGGTGTTATG